GTCTAATGCTAACAATATAATTCATACCTATATAAGATTTATTTATAAATATTAAAAATCATTTACAAAACAAGGGCGCCAGTGGCGCCCCATCCACTCTTGTAATATATTAAAATCACAGCTAGCTTAGATGATCGCAATTGCTATCTAGATTCTAGAGCCATAAGAAAATTTATTGAACGAGATGACCTATGATATGTATGTCACATGATATCCTGTCCAATAATTTTCCTATAATTCTACAAATCCAGTTAATGTTAATAAATAAATCATATGATGTATTTATTTTTAATATCTTCACAACTTAAAATAGTCGACACAGAAAATGATATCCGATTTATCATTTCTTTGTCCATATCTTTGTATTAAAACAACTAAAGAGCTGTAGATTTTATCACTCCGTTCTATACCATTCTTTTTTTTAAGAATAATATCTAAATGAAAAGATAATTTACAATCAGTAATCATAGATTTGATGCTTCTTACAGTAATGTGTATCGCAGTAATTCCAAACTTGTCCTTGGCAATACAATTATTATCGTTATCATGATAACAATTAATATAAGGACAACTTATACGTTTTCACTACAATAATACCATTTTTATTTCTGAATACTAAAAAAGATGCATGTTTGAAGCATGTTATAAAAACATACATAAAATTTTAAGAAAACAAAAATAAAAAATAAAAAATAAAAATTGAGAGACAAAATTCGTTTATAGAAGAAAAAGAGAAAATATATAACACTACAGATGGCTTGTTCGTTGGACTCCATGATAAATAGAAATTTTAGTCCAGGGTGATTTTAGTCCAGGGTGCTTCACAATTTATCATTGACCCAGAATAACTCCAGTCATAGTAGTCCAAATTATGTCTGTAAGATTTACCATCCCCATTATGAGAGTTCTTAATCATATCCGCATATAAATCTAGAGTAATAAAAGATAAATATAATGATGATAATTTTTGGAATTACAAAACTTTTTTATAATTATTACCAGCAGATGCATCTTTGTAGCCATCACAGATTCGAACAGCCCATGAATTAAGGTAATTTTTTTGGTCATAAGGGACATTCCACATAAAAGCAATTGATTTTCTTTGATCTCTAATTTTATACACTAATACCCCTC